GATAATGGTTTTCTTGTATCGTGTACATTTCACACCCGAACCGGTTGCGAAACGTACTTTATTTCCTGATATTTGCATACAACCGTCGAGATCGTTATTTCTCAATTCCAGTTAGTATAACACGATCTAGCGAGGTGGCTAACAAGAGAGGTTAAAAAATCTCCCGCCACATTGGCGTTGACTGCGCATACGCGTGTTCAAAATTATCCTAATTATTCACATTTCAATGTAATACTTTAAGAAAATCTTTCTGAGCCCTGAGCCTGAGAAAACGTAAGAAGGAAGAATCGATCAAGATCTTGAGATATTTGATTTTTATTAGGAAAACATGAATGTTACACGGGAAAACGTATTCTTCGTAAGAGCAGGGTCAAAGTCGTTTCCGTGTAAATCTCGAAACGAGTCAGGATAAGCCTCCGTGAAGCCGAAAACGTAAATCCAAGTCGGATCTGATAGTCGGCCGAACGTAAACGGTACGGCAACCTGGATCGTAAAAAACCAATTCGTTCCGGTTGGCAACGTGGAAAAAGTATAAGAGAGAATAATTCGCAAGAAGCACGGCAACCCTGGCTGCGCGCAAGGCCAGTTAACCTCTAATTAAGAGAAACGACTTCAATTATATGTTAGAACAGTGAAATACCCGAATAGCGACTCTAACAGCGAATTAATTCGTGGCAACGTTTTTACTACTCGACGGTGGGCATCGGGTCGTTCGCGATCAAAAATAAATAAAAGTAAACGGTACAGTAATTGGCCATTTAACCGACGGCGCCCCATAAATAATGAATTTCCAATCCCGATACGAAAATAAAATCTGAAAATTAATAAGATGATAAATAAAACGAGTTTACAACATCTAATAAACTGTAGCCACTCTTCTCGGATTATGTAAAAGCATTCTTCTTCGTTAGCTTCGCTTCCTTTAATCAGTGAAACACCGTTCTTTCGCTTCTTTTCCCAACTTTCCTTTTACAGATACTTCCGTTCCCCTTTCTCTCATTGTCTGCTCTTCATACACCAAAATTTTCTCGGGGGTATCAGTTAATATAGCAGGTTTTCCTCTTGATTCCTTTCTTTGTTTGCAATCTAGGTCGTACTTTTGGGAGACGAATTTCTGGTGCAGCTACAGGGAACAGATCTATATGAAACGTCACCTCGAGGAGACGTGCTTAAAAGAATAGACCGGTGAAAAATTCCAAATAACTAGACATCTTTTGCTATTATTTGTACGACGATCGAGAGATCGGAGGAAAATTAGCGGCGTTTAAAACTTCGATCGCGTCGTATTTACGCGTCACCGGTCAGAAAGTTTGCACGCCCAACGACAGTCAACACAGATACACCAATCCACCACTAATTACTGTTGGTAATCAGATGTCTGACCGACGCAGCAAATTGGCTAGTTACCAGTTGCGCCAATAGTCAATACCGTGCATCGATCACGAGCCGCGGATCAGCTACAACCGGTCCGTTGATATCTGCAAACAATTCACGTTGATTTTCGGTTTGTACGCGAGCCCCGATGCAACGACATAACGTGCTTCGACGCGGTGTTCTTGGGAATTTGTTAATTCCTCGCGTCGTGCCCAGGGCTGGATTAATGCCAGCCTTAAAAAGAATATTCTCTACCCTGTGTGGCTTCTCCCTTTTGGCTCGCGTTGAAAGCGTAAAATGTAATATTAAATATCCGTAAAATAGTTGGTAGCCACCGTCGCGTATTCCGGCAACTTCTGCACCGTAATAACAACCGTGTTTACGAAGTTCTCTAACAGAGGCAGGGAGACCACACATGGCACGCCTCGACGATGATGAGAGGAATAACTCATTAGCTTTGTAGCATAGCGTGCGCGCCATGGAGCCACGATACCGTCTTAATTATACGGCGAATTACATTAATACTGGATGACAGAGATTCCCCGTGCGAACGATCGCTTACGCGGGCATACATCACCGGTTGTCCAGGCCGAAAGTTTTTCGCATAATTTTCGAATAAACTCGAATATTTTCCAAGCGCAGTCCGATGTAATACTTCCGCGGAAGGCCGGCGTAAGTTGTAAATCTTTGAAGTGGCTTTCGGAGAAGGAAAGATTTCCACGACCGTTCCGAGACCGAGTTTTCTCTAGCCCTCCCGCGCCCCCACCCACTGCCGGTTACTTATTTCTGCTCGCAGGAACGAGTAGGAAGAAGATAAAAGGGCCAAGTTTAATATTAAGGCAATAAACCCCCGCAGCCTTGAATTCTTCCGGGCAATATATCTTCGACTATGACATCGTGTTCTCTGGTAAACGCTGCTCCCAGAATCCTCCTTTGCCCGCGAAAGTCGAAACTGACGCGGAACCGCTCAAAGTATTCGCGATAAAATTCGCCCAAGATATTTACTAAAGACATTTTTCGAAAATACCTCCAGAACTAATAATTTCTTTCCCATTTGTCTTTCCTTCTTCCGAGAAACGCCGGTCCATGGAAGAGCAATTTGTCGCGAAACAAACGGATACCATCGTTTCAGCGTTGGTTTCGATGGACGGTCCGGTCGTCCGGCAGTTTTTTTCCATCGGATAATCCCACGTTTATTTTCACGAGCGCTGTTTTCTTTGACGCGTATTTCAGGATTTACCGACACCGTGGCTAGCGGTACACGCGTTTCTCCGACTCACTTCGCCGCGCAGCTAGCTTCATTTTCAACGAAGAGCAACAGTCGTAAATTATGCGAATACGATTCGCCTGCTGTGATTCACGCTCCGCGAAAAACAGCCACCAGATTTCTCAAATTAATCTCCGGGCGCGAACGCGCGAATCTCAGGTGATCCACGCGCGTAAGAATAAACGAGAGGATCCCCTACGAAAATTCTTTCTCCGTGACGGATACGTAGCCCGAGTTTGTTCGCGGATACGCGTCAAGATAAGACGACTCCGCTGCGAACAAATTCCTCCAGCGACCTCTTAATTTGCAATTGCACAAGCCTTTCATTGACTGAGTCAAGCGCGCATGACTCATCGGCTTTGAGATATTAATTAATCGCGTTACTTCTCGCCTCGTATTCCTGTCTTCTTACTTTCTAGCGCTTCGCCACTGTACATAAGGAAGACGGTGCTGTAATTTATTTCCAGACCGAGATTCGAATGGGAAAGTTGCTTTATTTGAATAGAAATTGTCGGAACTAACGGTGGCTCTGGCGAGCGAAATAATTAGAAACGAGTTTGTATTCGAACACACGATATATATTTTATTCGTTGCACCGCTTCTGGAACTCGACGGGAACCCGGATCGTAACGGAATATCGAGTATCGGGAATAATCGATTCCAACGAACGAGCACTTCAAATATTTTGTAATAAAAATAATTAGAATAGTTTTTTAAATCTTTGTTAGTTCGGTATAACAGTTATGCGAACGGTATGCGTTAAATGAACAGGAAAATATGACCAATTCTCTTTTAACAAACAACAAATATAATCATTGAAATGTAACGATAGTAAAGGACGTGCAGCATCTTTGGAATACCCAGTTTGTTTAAGTAAGTCACGTTATCGAGTGCAGTTTAAGAAAAGTATTAATAAACGCGACACGGCGTTGCTTTCGATCAGAAATGGAAAAGTCGGCGCTGCTTGTGGTCACGGAAATATTAGTGAAAGTCGCGATGGCGAGATTATTAATGCGTACTGGTGGCCGCGGAAATATTAGCGAAACCTAACGATCGCAGGAATATACTTATGGTCGTTGATTATATTTTAACGCGAGCCTATGTTGGTCTCTCGATTCGGGACAACGATTTTGCCGGCAGAATCGAGAAGACAATGCCCGGTGCCATGGAAATCGCGCAACGTGGGAACGCGATACAAAATGTAAATCCAGCTTAACGCCCACGCTGAAATCTCTCCTGATCGAAGGTGTCCGGTAAAGGTATTCGCGCGGTTGCGCCGCGCCGCTGCTCTAACATTGGTAAACGTACAGATTGTTCGCGATTTATCGCTCGATTACAGCGTGTTCCTCGAATATTCATGAGCCGGAGGCATTGCTTTTTGAAATTTAAAGGACTGGAACGGCGTATTAAGTTGTAGCTAAACGAACGCGTGTCTTTGCAGCTGTCGTCGTACGTAACCAGCGACATTAATTATAGAGTGGAAATATCAAAGGGGCTTGGCGAAAAAATCGAACGGAGTGGGATTTTGAAAAATCGCAATCCGTGTCGCGGGCTCGAGTATTAAATTACTCGATCATTTTTAAGGCAGCCGCGCAACGAGATAACGTTTTCGAATACCCTCGGTTTCGAGGAACATTCGAACGGGAAATAATATAGTTTCGCGTTAGAAATATGTAAATCTTAAGAGAAACTGCTAAGAAAGTCTAAATAAGGATCCCTGTCCGGGTATCGCGCGAGTTTATTGCATTTCTCCCGTAACAATCAGAAGTGTTTCCAACGCAGGAACATCAATTTCTCCTCATTGCGGGTCGGGAATACCATTCGACCAATTTCCTCCGCTATCCCAGGATCCGACCGATAATTATCTTTTTTTTTCTCTCGCGAGACAGAGACGAAGAGGGAACAGAGCAGAAATAAGGGGGTGCGAGGGAGACGGAGGCAACGTTTGGTCAGATGGGGTTCGACTCTTGCCAAGCTCGAGGCCGCATTGCAGATGCACGTGCAGCCTCCATACGGATTTTCGATTTCATTTACTTTGTTTTCGCAGAGCTCCCTGCGGTCTGGGACTCTCAAAGAAAGCCTGGACGGGCGAGACGGACGTGAACGATGATTTTTCCACCCGCGATATGAAAATGAACCATCGAACCTCGCTTCTGGCTAAAATCCGTGGAAACGAAGTAATCATTGGCGTTTGCGATTCGTTTCAAAGCTTTAACATCCCGCGCGATAGTTTTCGCTGCAACTTTGTGCGATTCCGTTGAAAACCTCGACGCGAATAAAAAGAACGAAATATTCGCTCAGGGTACCGAGCCGTATGTTTCGATGTTTTAATTAACATCGAGTATTTTCTCTATTCCAGACCGCCTGACGCAAAGCGAGGGGAATACGCAAAACCACGGGGGATAAAAAGAAGAACACCCACCCAGACAGAAATACGCTTATCGTATCGACTGCATCGTCGAGAAAATCGAACCGCTGGGTTGCTCCTTCTTGGCACACGGGCATTGCGGCTCGGAGCGGCAAAGGTAAAAACCAGCAAAATTTCTGCGCGTTAAAACGCCCGGTCGATCCCCGCGGCGCGATGGGTTCTGTTTGTTTTCGCGTTCCGATTTTCATTTGCTTCATTTCCGCGGTGTGCCGTCTAACCCAGAGAAGACGGGGGCGAAAGCAGAGAAACCGTCTGGGGTGATCGACCATCAGAATGTTTCCCCCTACTTCCGGTTTCCTCTGCAGCAAGGGTTCGCTAGTCTCTCGATCCATAACTAAATTCTTACCCCGGCAACAAGACGCAGAACTATACAAACTCTAGATAAACTATCTTATCTTAATTGCTCGTATCTCGAAAACGAAGCCTCAGGATTTGCAGAATGGCGGAGAGGGAGGAACGCTGAGTTTAAAAGTTCGTCGGCCCCTGCTCTATCGAATTGCATCCCCGAACACGAGCACCCTCGAAGACCGCTATTTCCTATACAGAGGCATCAGGCGCATGTCGCCGCAGATTAACGATTCAGCCTGGTGACACGTGCATGACCTATCGGCTTGCAGCGACGCTGACTTTGTGTCTGCCCCGCGCTTTGTTAATTAATTTCGCAAGGACGAGCCACGAACTTGTCGGAGGGTGGTGTCTTACCCCCACTAGAGGCACCCGCGAATCCTCGTCGATGAGAATGCATCGCGGTTTCTTCGGTCTGGTCGATACCCCTGGTCGTTCGGTGTCCCTGACTTTGACGGATGATGGCAACTTCTGCACCCCTTGCCGGCGGCTGTTATCCGGGAATGATAACGACAAGTTGGCGACGACGTTTCTTGCCGGTAGCAAAGAATTTTTCTCGATACTCCGGGCTATTGGTTCCGGCAAAGTTTTCGGCGGCCGTCGAATTACGGGCCGCCCGAAATTCCCAACTTTCTCGATACTTTTAACGAGATTACGAGGCATGAGTGAAGTATAAGCTGCGCCCCAAAATGATAGAGCCACCCTGGAAAACTGTGGTTCCACGTATTTGGTACACGTTAGAGAAAAAAGTAGCAATGTTGCTAAAGAGCAATCAATTTTAAAATAAGCTACGGGAAGAGGAAGAGCGTGTAATTTCGGAAAAGGTTAAATCATCCCGGCTGAGTTTGCAAACGCGTAACGCGATACGCAATTTTAATGAAGCGCAAAGTTCCTTCGAGCTGTTTCGAGTTGATCTAAACTAAGCTGGGCGTTTTCCTGCATGCCTGTGGGAAGATTCGAGACCCAGAGCAACGGGGATAGCCCTCATGGTTGGGGTAGTGGCCTTGAACGGAAATTAACTCTCCACAATTGGTCACTCCTCCACCTTCGAGCAGATAGAAACGAGGGGACAGCTCGTCGATACTTTCCCTGCTCCTTGACAACATTTTCCCGGGCACTTCTTTTTTTAATTAATTTATTTAAGATCGTACAGCGTGAAATTGATGCATCAAAGAATGTATCTTTATCAGATTATGTGATGTTATCCCGAATATACGAATGGATATTTGGTTGTTAACGTTGTATGAGAGATGGGTAAAGTCACTCTGAGTCACAAAGTACAAATGTTATAACCATCCGTTAATAGAGGAAGAAAGAGAAACGAAGTTAACCCTCGAAAGTATCTGCCTTCTTCCATTTACCAATTCCTCTCTGCGAAATCTTGACAAACCTCTTGATTTCCTCCGACCGTATCTTCAATTTTCCCAATTCAAGGTACTCTCTTCGTTGGATCCATTTGTGGTTTGAAATGGGTCGGAGGAAAGTGTAGATACAACCGTTAAGTAAGCTGCGTACGCTTATGGACAAAAGTTAAGAAACGAGTTACATGGTTGCATACTTTTAGATTTCTTAACATAGCGCACACGTTTATTAGTGTCTAATGAATTATTTACGCTGTTGCACAAACGAAATCGTGAGAACTGTGTCTTTTTAATTTTACTCGTATAATTCGGTGTATCTCATAACGATATATAAATTGTAAGTTCCACTCTGAACTACTCTCTGCTCTCGTAATCATGCGCCATACCACTATCAATTTCTACTATTATTATGTCGCTAAGCTTCATGTATACAATTGACCTTGTCTCGTAACCGTGTAAAATCTAATTAATTTTCGCTCGGGCTGATTCCATTATTGAAATCCATTTTTCTAGGGCTTCGAGACTTACGAAACGGTAATACTTCTGCCACGATCGTGGAATCTAAACTAAGAGACGCGTGTCAGGATCGTTATCGCGGCCGAATTAAAGCCAACAAATCATTTCACGGTTCGTAGAACGATCCATAAAAAGCTGAAAAAACTTATTTATTGGCCGAAGTTGCGTACGCTTCGAGGTTCAACGAAATCTAACGTAAACAAAGATCGTCGCTTCTCAGACGCCATTCGAGTCGCTGCATAAAACCCAATGGCGACCGATAGTCGCCTCTCGAGCGCAAGAGGGTAAATATTATCCTTTGGAATCAATTGCTACCGATGACTCGGTGCAAATGTAAAGTTTCTCAACTTTAGCCGGTAAACGTGGATAGGGCGGGAGGCGGTTTTCTCCCAACGTGCTCGGATTGGCTGCGTGCAAAACAGGAGAAATACACCGGGACGGGATAGAAATCGCTGCAATTAGCGAAATAATTGGCAATTAATCAGCCCGGTGCTGTGCAAAAATCCAAGAGCGCCCGGCATCGGTCTCGGTCTAAATTCCTTGCGATTTCGTTCGGTCGTTATCACGCAACTTGGGCAATTACACGAATGACGTCTCATTAAGTCACGCCACGCTCGACGGCCGGATAATTGACTGACGTAATCGTTCCGCGTTTTGAGCCGCTTGTTGACGTAACGGGAACGAAAATCGAGGAAGAAGAGAAGCGGGGAAATGAAAATCGAACGGAGACACGGGGCGTCGTCGACGTCGCTGAAATTCCCCGGGAAAATTTCAATAAGCGATTCCACGACTTCGGGGGAGGGAGAAGCCGGGAGATATCGCGTAAAGATTGCTTTAATAAAGAACCGGGCCCGGAGTTTCGGCTTTAATGCGAGTCAACTTCCTGAATAAAGTGCCCGGTGCTATTCCTTTCGACGGGGGACGCCGTCACGGCCGACAGAATTTCCAATAATAAATGATAAAGCGCCCTTGGTTGAATCCGATCCGCCCGCGAACGTGATAAATCTATTTCGTCGTTTCCCTGCCACTTGTGAATTATTAGCGAGGAACTCCGCGAGAGTTCATAGGTGTTGATGGCCCCCACCGACGCGGACTTTTGTTACTTTTCCAACCGTTATCGAATGCAACAAAGGGGAATCGCTATCGATCAAAAGGACAATCGAGGAATCGTCGAAACTTTATATAATAACTTTTTTTTTTTAATCGATGAACGGATTGTTTGTTAATTTTTGGAGTGATCGTTTCACTCGATTTCTACGGCGGACCACATTTCGTAAGTGGAACGGTCTCTTCTCACAGAACGCACAGCTTTCCTTCTCAGCATTGTTTCTGCTCGGATTATTAGCCCGTTTCGCCGTAAATTTCACGCGTAGCCAGTTTTCTCACGTATAATTGCCGCAACGAAAGTTTAATTTATCCTCAAGACCGTGGCATTTGCATGGTGGTCACCGGTGAACGACGCTGCATCGTAAAATTATTTACGAGGGAAGAGCGTAAACAATTTCGTCGACGCGAAAAAAATATTTGTTGCGTGATAAATTATAAAAACCTCGTACAGATCGATATTGTTTACTTGGACCAAATTCTCCGTAGAACAACGACTGTCCCGTTAAGCAGGAAATTAACGAAACTTCGCGTTAAAAAGCGCAAAGTCGTTGTTACGGTAATAAGCCCGTTAAACGCCACCCCTGCGGGATAAAAACGAATGGGGTTGCGCCTCCACGCGATAAACAAATTTATGGCCAAGGGGGTTGACGTCCACGCACGACACGACGCGGAATGAAAGCAAAAACGCGACCGCGGAGGAGGTAACTAATAGCAATCTAATTAGCATGCCGCCGATCGCCGGGAACGCCCACGAAACCGGGGAAATTGCACGGTGGCAATCAAGGTGACGGTTCCAATCGTTGCGCTCGAAGGCTTTCCTTTTTCGCGAGAACGAAAAAGTCGCGCGGAGGAATTCGTTCTCGCGAGATTGATATTTATGTTCGATCAACCCCTTCGCCGTCAGGTTGAGAAACAACTGTCTCGTGTAAAAAGTATGTTTTCTGTACGACTTCTATCTTCTCTATTCGTTCTGCCTTGAAATTTCAACTAAGAATAGTGTCCTCGAGTCTACGACAAATTTCATAGCTAATCAGCGGAAGACCGACGACGTTCTATTCTTATCTAGACGTATATGCCAATATTCTTGGAAAGGTTAGTAGAGTGACGCGATAAGGGCCCGAAGGACGAACGAACTAATGAAATTTTGGCAAATTCGTCACGGAGGAGACACCTTCTCCAGTGACACGACGAAAGTTTTAAGTTCCGTTCATTCAACTTTTTCAATTTTCGAGCAGAGTGCAGAGGCGTGTCCGGTGTATCGTTTCTCAGCCTGTCGAAGAACACCTCGACGAACTTTTGCCGTGCCCGTTCGAACGAGACGTCTGTTTCTCGAAACAACTTGCAAATATGCAAACTATTACGCGAGAAAAATTTAAGACGCTTTCCCAAATCATATCGGATCCTAAGTGTCGAGGAAGGCTTGCGTGATCTTAGAAAAACAATTTTTGTACGAGTGCTATCGAAGAGTACGAAGTAATTTCAAATATTGATAGGAAAGAAATCGAGAACCACTTAACGTAGTCGTGAAAAGTCGTCGGGGACATCGAAACGAGGATTGACTTTCGATGCAGTTGAAATCTCGATATAACAGAACTTGGAACTTTTTGATTCCATCCTGTCTGCCAAAGTAGATTGATCGTCCGAAGGGCAGAAGCTTTCGTATTCCACTCGCATTAGTCTACAAGATGCAAATGCTGTATCGAAACTTCTGATTGGAAATGTACAGGGAGACAACGCCGACACGTTTTCCAGCTCCCATCGATACGAT